TAGTCTTTCGTTAATAGCTTCGTTATTAGCACACATCTCTCATTGAATATCCAATTGTTGAGCCCCCATATCGATTAATTGGAACTCTCTGGATGCAAACCTTAATTCAAATGTCTCCATAAACGATCGAAAGTATGGAGGCATTGGACTCTCTTGCTGGACCGACTCGTCCTTGGGTACATGATCATTGATATCTCGCATAAGTTCTTTAAGCTCTGGATCATCATCAGCAACCGGCTCCGGTGCAGCTTGTGAAGAACTAGCACCCGGTGTTTTCTGGGTTGATCGAACCATTGATCCTTTTCCCCGGACCATCCCGATTTCTTCAAGGTTGTGAGATTTATTGGGTTCTTAAGAGGGATGACTACGTCATGCTGAACCCTAAGCTCATATTTGATAAACAAATTGCTAAGAAGACAATCGTAAACTAAGGTTTCTATGTATTTAGACGGGACATTGTTTACGGTTTCTACTAGCTCAGCAAAAATGATTTGTGGCAAATTTATTTTCTTTTTATGTTGGATACAATGTATCCACCATAACTCTAAAGATCTAAGGGTGGAGTACCTACTTCCGGATGGTCTAATCCACCAAGAGATGATTAATAATAAGGTACTCTCACTAGCCTTAGCTCTATAATTGGTAGCCACAATTTCTTTTTCATTATCTAATCCCTCGTTATCTAAACCAAAAGTGTTAGCGATTGTGTCAGAGTCAATATAAACGAATTGACCTAAGAGATAATATTAAATCCCTACGGTGGCAGTTTGGGACTCGTTTTGGACACACACCGCATTGGAATAGAAAATGCAGACTAGTTGGTGATAAACGACAGGTTTGAGCTGAAAGAGTTTATCAAATTTCCAAGATCGGAGGGTAAGAAGATATTCAAAATTCATATTGATCATGACTTGAATTGAGGGGATACGCTCTTCCCGGATTCTATATGACTCGAATAGATTAACAAACCTATTGTAGAGATCTTCTCGACGACCAGGTTGGTTAAAGTAAGAATTAATGATAGTCATATCGGGAGCGTTTGAGTTTGGATTTTGAGGTGGAATAGGTCGATTTTGAGATTGGTTTGACTGACTAGAAGATGACCTAGGGCCTTTAGAAATGATTAAAATCGGAATGGATAAGGTTACATGTAATTTAAAAATACATGTATGCAATACAATCAATCCCAAAACTCAATACGAGTCTTCAATATTCAAGGTTCTCTAAAATTAATCATAATGGGCAATTTTGAGAACTATTTTTGAAAACAATATTTGAAAAATCATAATACAAATAGTTTTCATGAAAACAACATAATTAAATCAAAATCAACAAAATTAAAAATAAAACATTTTTTTTATTTCGAAAAGTAAGAAAATTTTGAAAAATATTGTGTTTTTGATGAAATTAGTTGTAAATTATAGTTCTAGACTAAAATCTAATAAATGCCCGATATCTAATTCAACCTAGAACTAATTAAAACTAGAACTATGTTCAAAATCAATAAAAATAGAGGTTTTAGAAAAAAATTACCTTGAAAATTCCGATTTGAGTGAGAAGTGATGTTGTTAGAACAAATTTAATGATGCTAGCAGGATTAAGAGTTAAAAAATAGTTGGATTCCGATTTGAAATCAAAGGATTTGAGCAATGTAGTGATTTGGTAGAGAAGAGAGGGGAAACGACGAGCAAGAGTATATGTTGGGGTTTTTTGACTAAATGAAAATTTTAGGGATTTTAAGCCTAAAACCCGACAGGTGTATCGATACACTTTTGAGTGTATCGATACACATTCAAGAATTGTATTGGTACACATTCATAGTGTTTCGATACATAGTGAGGGGGTATCGATACCACAAAAATGTCAAAATATGTTTTAAACACTTAAAATGCTAAATTAATCAACTCTAGTGGTATTGACAACTCATATATCGAAAATTAACAATGTTCAGTCAATCAAATCTATCTTTAAATTTTATGTGAACATATTATTAATTTTTACTAAAGATCATAAACTCCTCCTAACTATTAGCAAATAATGCAATCAAAAGAGTTATTTTTATAAGCATTTTTCAATTTTAATTAAAAGTGCTAAAATTATTTTAAACACTAAGTCAAGGTAGGTTAGTTAAACCTAATTCTCTCCTAAGTGTCCAAAATCTTTCTTTATCTAAAGGTTTTGTAAAAATATCCACTAATTGATGCAAAATATCAACAAATTCTAGAACTATATCTCCTTTTGTGACATGATCTCTAATGAAATGATGTCTAATTTCAATGTGCTTAGTTCTAGAGTGTTGGATTGGATTTTTAGTGAGACAAATAACACTAGTATTGTCACACTTAATAGGTATGGAACCAATTTCAATTCCATAATCTAAAAATTGTTGATTCATCCATAAAACTTGTGCACAACAACTACCGGCTGAAATGTATTCTGCTTCAGTGGTAGATAATGCAACACAATTTTGTTTCTTTGAAAACATGAAATCAACATATTTCCTAGAATTGACAAGTACCGGAGGTGCGTTTCCTATCTATTTTGCATCTTCCATAATCCGCATAAGAGAAAGCATGCAAGCTAAAGCGAGAGTCTCTAGGATACCAAAATCCTAAACTAGGAGTGACCTTAGGGTAACTAAAGATTCTCTTCATGACTAGTAAATGTGATTCCTTATGACATGATTGAAATCTAGCACATAAGAAAACACTAATCATAATGTCCAGTCTACTTGCAGTTAGATAAAGTAAAGAACCAATCATTGACCTATACAATTTAACATCTACACATTTACCTCCTTCATCTTTGCCAAGTTTTGTATATGAGCTCATTGGAGTGAGTTGGGGTTTTCCATTTTCAAATCCAAACTTTTTGAGAATATCCTTGACGTATTTTGCTTGATTGATGAAGATTTCATCTTTTCTTTGCTTGATTTGGAGACTTAAGAAAAATGAGAGCTCCCCCATCATGCTCATCTCGAATTCACTCTGCATTACCTTAGAAAATTCTTGGCAAAGAGCATCATTAGTAGAACCGAATATTATATCATCAACATAAATTTGAACTACTAATAAATCTTTATATTTTTGCTTTAAAAACAATGTAGTGTCAACCTTCCATTTTGAAAAACCTTTTTCTATTAAAAAATTTCGAAGCCCAATTCCGGGACCACCCAAAAGACGGTCACAACAAAAATAATTCAAATCGAAATTAATTTGATTGAAAACAACTTGAACTGAAATTAATTTGAACCGAAATCAACTCGAATTGAAAGTAAACTGAATCGAAAGTAACCCAAAACAAATCAAACTGAATTTAATTTATCCAAATCTGGTTTGAATATAAGATTAACCTAATTTTATATCCTATAATTGAGTCCAATTGAATAAATAAATTATCATGAATATATATATATATAACAATGTGACAAATAATAAAATGATGCATGTTTTTTTTCTCATTTTGTATTATATGACTAGTTAATCACCACATTTTAATAATAGGTTGATGATTCAATATAATCTTAAGAATTGTTGATAAGAACTAAAGCAGGATGACAAAGGAGACTTACTCGAATGCGACGGTTGAAGCTGACTGTTTTTATGTGGCGACGGAAATGTTTCTTCGGTCTAGAATTTTGATGGCTTAAAAAAGATTTTTTTTTTAATTTTAGTATTGTTTTGAAAATAATCTTACCAATAAAATATATACACATACACACATATATATGGGGCATGATCCAATTAACTATATATATAAAAGAATTCCATATAAAAAATTCTACTTTTATTCAAATGATGAAACCTATTTTGAATAAAAAAGTATATATATCAAATAATTCCACTCTAATTCAAAGGATGAAATTGATGCAAATAAAGTTGAATAAGTTAATTTACATAATAAGGCCCTAAGCTTTATAAAGATTTTCAAAAGTAACACTTTAGTGTTTATATTTTACACTTTTGACGCAAATATTCTTAACTTTTATAATTTAGTTATCAAAATTTGAATACCTTCAAATAAGTCACCAAAATTTAAATTTTAGCTAATCAAAATTATTTAAATCAATATTCATTCAAATATAATTATTGTATTATTCTTTTTTTTTAATTTAAATAAAAATATTATATTTATAATTAAACATTAAAGATCTAGTTAAAAATTTTAGTTGAGAATAAAATTTATAATTAAAAAAATTTGTTTCTTCATCAAATAGTTCTCATTGTAAACTTTTCAGGTTGGATTAATATGAAATTCATGTCACAAACTCTAACACTTCTTATAGGATCGAGTTTGGGTCAAATTATCATCCTTAAATGATGTTTAATTTGAAATATTAAATGACTGAGAATTGAAATTGAGCCTAAATGATAAGAATGATAAACAAAAAGATATATTTTTTTATAAGAATATATACATAATTCTATATATACTTGATTGAACTCATACCCAACTCAACCCAAATTGGCTTAAAGATCTAAAGATTGACATGATCTAAAAATCAGTCGATTTGATATTATCATGACCCAAAAATCAATCAATTTGGTTTGCCTCGTCCTAAAAATCGAACGATATGATATTGATCTGACCTAAAAATCGACCGATCCGATATTAACTGAAAAAAACAACCTATTTGATATTGACCTAACTCCCAACTCGACTTACCATAAACTCAGACTAAATCTGAATCAGATTCAATTCTACCAAAATTAAACCTAAACCAAATATAATTAGACCCGAAATGATCCGACCTAAACCCAATCCGAATGACCCGTTTGCTACTTTTAGGTATACATCTACTCAAATTACAAATTTTAATATTATAAAATTATTATTTTGAATTTTTTTTGGAATATTAAGAAATAAACGCATGTACACACATGTATGCTCTCTTAATTTCTTGGATGAATTGAATAGCATACCACAATGTAAAAAAATCCCTTATAATTTGGGATTCTAAATGTCAAATACTGGAAGAATAATCAACATTGCATCGTTCATTGATGAACAAACTCTACAATTTTAAAACTGTTGTACAGAAATTTTTGCATAGAAAAACATCAAGCGTTTGCATCATCACACAATTGCAGCCTTGGGAGCAAGAAAATCTGAGATTTTATTGGTGTAGAAATCAGGTTGTATGGAATTGCTGGGACTCTGAAGCATCGACAATGTTGTCACACCTATTCAAGGAAGAAAAAGAAAGTACTTTTTACACACACACACACATATATATATATACAGAACCTGAACATGGAGGAAGAATGAGACTGCAGTAATTAGCTATACCTGAGAGAACAAGAAGAGTTTTGCAGCCACCATTTTGTCCAAACAGAATGTCAGTATCTAATCTGTCCCCAACCATGCATATCTGCGATTTGAGGATGCCAAATCTGTTGTGTAACATGAAAACGATGCTATGAGAGAGCAATACTTATTATTTACCAGAACTAAACAGTTTCCAGTGTCCATTTCCCTAGCATCACCACAGCCCGTGTACGTTAGATGGCAATCGGCTGTGATCGTCTCTTTAATGTAAAGGCACCAAAAAGATTAGTAACATATTAAAACATCCATTGGTTTGTATGTCAATTACAAAGGAAATTCTGATGAGTTTCAACTGTACTTAATTGACTTCATGTTTGTTCCCTACTGATAGAACCATAGTAAGATTAGCAACAAATTAAAACTCAGTATGGCATCTTATGAATGATAAATATAGCAGTATACAAAATGCACCACTTCCCAAGTCAAAATCACTCGTGTTATCGCTAGCCTTATAATCGTAAAAGAAACAGGATTAGTATTATGAAGCTTTGGAAACATACTTGTCTGCAAGGTAGTCCATCATAAAGGTTGAAGGCTTTCCCACAACAAGTGGATCACGTTGAGTGGATCCACAGATGGCACCAACCATAGAACCACCACCTGAAATCGAGTATTGTGCTGTAGAGTGACTTACAGAGTTGAGGGAAATGATTGTATCATAAGATTTAAGTTCATAAACCAAAACTACGATGAAAGAGTTTTTAAGGATACATGTCTTCCTAGAAGATCAAATGAACACGTTGCCTCGCTGTTTTGAAAGTTTCGGATCATACTCTTTTGACAATCAGGGTAAATGTCGTGTTTATAATTTATGGTCCAGAATTCAGCTACTAAATCATAAGTTGTCCAAATATTCACAGAGTTTTTACCAAAGGTTTATAAGAGAAGAAGATGATGTTGTGAACACAAAAGTCCAGTAAAGGTTGAAGTGAATAGAACCTGCCCATTCCTGTGCATCTGTGAGATGAGTGACTGCGTCCCGATTTGTGGCAATGAAAAGACAACCAGGATTTTCACGTATACAAAGTGTCCCATACCTCCATTAATAGGAAAAAAAAAACAATTAGTAACATCATAAAATCAACAAAACCATAAATATTTGGCTTGCATGTATTTGTTAAAATAATTTACGGTACGGCCATTGAAATTCTTATGATAAAATGTATACACAGCTCCCTAATGAAAGTTTGATTCATCATTTTCATCCCCAAACTCTTTCATTCAGAGAATTAATTCAATCCCAAGAACTGAAGTTCACTGTGATTAAAATATGCTATTTGTTAACTCAATCTATCAATCCTTAGCTACCAAACAACAGTAATGTGAAATAAAATGTTCATTGATCTATATAATCCTGTTTGTTATACGTATCCTCCGGTTCCTTTAAAAAATCTCTAGGCTGTGTTCCTTTTCAGCGAAACCTCACGAGACATCAGACAAGTAAACTGTTCGCCAGGCATGTGGAAACACAGATGCATTATTAGAAAGCGGAAAACTTACTGGACTTTATAGTAGTTGAAATATCGATCAAATCCAACAACCACAGCCCCAACCTATAGTGCAAAAATGAAAGTTCAAAAGCTACTTTCTGTTTGTATAGAGCCAAAAAGGTTAAAATTATGACCACTGAGACAATTTCTTTTTTCAAGGTTCGCAAAGTTAAAAAAAGGGGGCAACGATACAGATGAAAAACAAGATAAGACTTTACATCATGATCATGCTCCATTAGAAACCCTGGCTTTAGCTCTATCTTCTTTCCACCATCCTCCTGAAAAATAATTAATTCATAGCATAAAAAATATGCCAAGAGAAAACCACATAAAAGATGCTAGTTAACATAATATTAGGATCTACTATATCCTTTTTCTTCCAATATCGAATAAATTAGCTCTTACCAATTATCTTTACCTAGTTTGTTTACTAAAAAAAGTATATATTTTCATTATATCAAGAGAGGCCAGATTCCAAAGAGTAAAACTAAGATGTTCAGTTAAGAAATACCAATCTTACAATCCAATTGATCAAACAGCAGCTATTAGCATCTTTTGACTGACTTGTGGGATGAGGAGAGGACTAAGGTAGAAGAAATTAGAGCAGCCCACTCTTTTGTGGTATTACTGCTAATTTTCATATATCATTCAGTGAAATGATCCTTGAACTGTTTACAAGAGTTTGCAAGTTAATGAGAGGTAAATAAATATATCAGCTTTGCAGATTCCATAATGTTTACAGAACAATTGGTGCTATATGCAAACTGAAACAAATACATACCGGCCCACCAATGTATTGGAATCCCGCGAGCTCAAGCTCCTTTAAGATGCCATCCTCACCAATGACATAAACCTATATCATGATAAGTTATCAGTCCATAATCATTCATATCAAACAACCAAATTTATAATGAAAAGTAAAGTTTAGGAAGCTGACTCAAAAGTGCTCATTGATAAATAAAACCTATAAGATAAGGGGGATAGTAAACAGTGAATGTAAAAACGAAGCAACATTTAGTACTATTAATGATATCATACAAATAGGAAATATATATATCACAAATGCAGGAATTGAAATGAAGGCTTATAGCATTTTAAACATCTATTGTTATGCTAAAATTTTGGCTTCCAGTTAAGAAATAAAATTGGGCATGGTGGTCCATCTGATAGCAGATTTCCAGTTGTGCTACATGTGACTTAAAAAAAAAACTCACTTTTTTATCTTTTGGGAACTTAATGGACTTCAGATATGCAGCCGCAGCAAATGAAGATGCAAAAATTTCCTCCTGAAACCATTCATCAAGTCAAAACTTATGCTTGAAAAACTGAATGTAAACAACAGCAGTGAAGCTTCATGGACTAACCTCACTGACATTCAGACCAAGCGTCTCGAACTTTTTACCATATTGTTTCCTGGATTTGGTTGAGTTGTTAGTAACGAAAACCAGTCTTTTCCCCTGAGGAACAATAGGATCAACATGTCTGTTAGCTATAAAATATGCCTTTTTTTATTCCTTTACAAAAAGCGACTTGATTTTGCAAATATCCATGGAGATAAAAAAGAAATACACATATCCATCCTCAATTACAAACCTTTGAACGAAGCATATCTAGAGTTTCAGGGACTCCATCTATTAATTTATCACCCTTCCATATAACTCCTGCAAAATATCCATCTATTAGCAGAGAATTCTTTTGGTCACATCAATGTCAATCAATAAATCTAATTATTGAACTCATCAGTTCCATGCTATATCAATTTATCAAGAGATGGATTCCAAACAAAAGGTTCTTCCTTTTTCATTGAATTTCTTAGCATTTTCCAACTTGGCTAAAGGAGTAATCGCCAAAAAAAAAAAAAATACTATTTTCTATAATGATTGTACTCAATCGTTTCATCATATTTTCCCACCAAATTCCTGAAAAGCAATTTCAAGTGAATGATCACACTATTAACTAAAAACCCATCAACAAGCATTATTAGATAAAAAAAATACTCAGTATCACAACCATCATTATATTGCCCAGAAAAAAAGGAAATTAAAAGTAAAACCCGTTATATCCAAATTGAAAAGAAATGAAAATGATGACCATCGCAATCAAAGATGAAAGTCTCGACGGAGGCTATAAGCTCGTCGGCGTTCTCCAAAGGTTGAGCGGATGCCCTTGTTCTTGTTGTGAAACCCTCCATTGTTCTCCCCGACTTGTTGGAAGTGCAATTACTGATACCTCTGCATTTGATGGCCAAAGCAGAAGCAGAAAAAGAGTTGAGAGAAGACAGCCTTTTCAGGCACGAAAATTGATGAGTTGGATTTATTAGAAACTTTGAGGATGTAATGGAAGTTGCAACAGAAACTACTGCTTTGGTTACCATCTTCTCCTCCTCTTGTTTTTCTTTTAGATTCTTTTTGTTTTTAATAATTTTATTTCAGTTTGATGAAGTGACGGTAATTTGTGGCCGTTATGCTTTAGCCACTTCGAGTGGTGTCATTTTGTCTTATCGTCTATTTCGTGGTTCATTATTTTTTTCACATTTATGACTTTTTCATTTACATTTTTTGACTAGGTGTTATATTTTAATATATAACCATGATATTTGATATATTCATCGATTAATTCGGATTGTATATTACAGAGGCGAAGACGACCCTCTCAATCCAATTTGCTCAATTTGCAAACGTCATGCTTTAAACTTTTAAATCTTAAACCCTAAACCTATAAAAAAATTACTCGAACCTAAAATATTTAGGGAGAATAATCTTCCTTTCACCAATGAGGTGACTTGATGGGTTCAATTCGAACCCAATACTTTTAGAGAGAATAATCTTCCTTTCACCAATGAGGTGACTTGATTAATTCAAATTTATTTTTCTATACAACATGAGCAAAATTAATCTATGTTATTTATTAATTGAAATTTTATTTATTTCCATTTTTATTGATGTGGGAAACATATTAAGTGCATGTTGTAAACTATTCTACAAATCCAAATAAATAAGTACATGAAATAGAGAGAAACGAAGTAGAAGGAATAAGAGCCTTTTAATAAAAATTTTAGATATCCCATTCTGTTACACCCCTTTTCTTTATAAAGCCAAACAACTAGGTCAAAATGCGTGAATTCACTCAGTGTATTTGGTTCCTTCTTGACACGTGTTCCTTTGCACAGTTGTAATGATTCTAATTGTTGACTTGGCTGCTCCTTTGATCGATTTGTTCATAACAATATCATCCCCTCGAAAAAGAACCTTGTCCTCAAGGTTCCAAGTAGGAATTGCTCCTGGAACCTCCTCAATATGCATCCAAGTTGTTATCGTTAGACAAATCCCAACCCATGAACTGTTTTTATCGATCAGGATAAGAACACACCCCAAAGCATCGTTTTGTTGCACGATGCTAGTATTTCTAGTAATATAGTTCTTGCAGCAGCTTATGGTCATGAATTTCCTTGCTACAGACTTGAAGTTGCAAATTATGTTGAAGGCTATTGTGTTAGACTCCTCTTGGCTAATTGAGTATTGAGGCCGCTGGAGATGTATGTCGAATATAGGGGAAATGTTGAGGTAATTGAGGCGAACTTCACTGTTGAACTGACAAAGAAAAGAGATCTTTCTATGCTCTCATCCATGTTGGTCTTGTCACAACTATTACCATAAATCATGTTTTTGGTTTTCTCAAGTTTGCTTTGGATGGTGGAATTGATATTTCCCACGACGAGAAAAGGTTTTTTGAATTTAACAAATGCAACAAACAACTCGATCCTGAAGTTCACCACCAATACATTTATGAAGGCCCTGTTGCTGCATTCATAAGGACTTTGATGGAATACGAGCCTGAAAAGTACCAGTCTCACTCGAGTGAGTTCATTAAGAGAGTATCTAGCCTGACAACATTAAGGGAATGTACAAAAAGGTTCACACCGATATGACTGTAACTTGACAAAAACAAAGTCGTTTGTTATACTTGCATAATGCCTGACATCATTATTGTTTGGATTTAACCTTGATGAAGCTTTTCCCTCATTGTTTTGAAAAACAATCACTAGTAAATGATTAAGAATCAACTTATTAGCAGCTGCTCGCTACACTTTCTCTAGCAGATGTGGGTGTATGTTGAGTCAATTGATCAAGGAATGTGGCCAAGAGGGGAGTGAATTGACAATAAAATTTATTGAAAGCTTTAAAAAGAAATAAGAAAAATAACATAAGGAATTCTAGAGTGGTTCAACCTTTTAAATGAAGTCAACATACACTACCTTAACTTCGACACTAAGGATTTCAACAAATTCACTAATTTGTTTTAATCTTTTAGGACAAGGTGTAACCTTACAAAACACTAAGATTTATACCCCAAAGTCTTAAGTGTTCAACCCTTCCCAAGAAGTAATTACAAAAAACTTTGAATATCCTCACAATGATATTTTTTTTTCAAATTGAAGCTCTCACACACTTAAGAACACTAGAATAAGAATAACAATGAATACAATAGTGTTCAATGAAAAAAAAAAAAAGATTTGCATGAATACAAATTTGACCTATTTGTTATTTGATTCTTGGAATAGTTCTTGGCTATTTGAAGACCCTTTTTTTCATTGATTTCTAACCGTATGAGGTTGTTGGAAGGAGTTTGGAGTTATTTGATGCATTATATTCGCGCATTAAAGGCTACATACATTGGAAGTTACAAAACTTTGGGGACAGTTTTGAAACTCTTCGAAAGACGAAATAATTTTTTTTATTGTTGGAAACTAAGTTTCAAAACTTTGATGAAAGTTTCAAAACTATTGAGAAAGTTTTGAAACTTCTAAACATATTATTTTTGAAAATTTCGTAATTTATATAGGAGTTCTGAAACTCTTGGTCAAGGCTTGATTAAAAATGTGAGTTTTGATATTTTTGAGAAAAAATATAACTTTGAAAAATACTCTAAAATGGTTAAATGATATTTTTGACATAATTTGAGCTTAGAAAGTTTATTTTAAAGTTTGGACAAATTTTAGGGACTTTAAATTAATTTTGCAAAAAATATGTTATATCATAATCATTTATGTTTATAAATCTCTCCCTTTCTGATATATAAAATATTTTGTAAGTTTTCTTAATTCAAAATTTGTCATAAATTTGTAAAATTATATATAATTAAAATCTAATGAAAATGAGTTCTCATTTAACTCCCCATTTGAAAAAGATTTTAAGGTTAGAAAAATTTTTAGTCAAAAAGCTATATCAAAAACAAAAATTTGTTCAAATGTGTTTTTGATAGTTTCTTCCTCTTTTTTTAGATCAAAATCATTTAACTACAAAAGAGAAGAAATGATTAGAGCATAAATATAAACCAAGATAATATAATCCAACATACAAGGAGCTAAAATAAATAAGCATCTAACATAAATATCTATAGTAATGTTATAGGAAATAGATATGCCAAAAATAACCAAAACATCCAAACATGAAATCCTAAAAATCAAAATGCAATAATATTCAAAAACATCCAAAATATTCGAAATGTATCATGAAATATTGAATGAAATGTGATACTCAATGCTTATCACAGGATGAGAATAATATCATGGTAAGGGATAAGGATCCGAAAAACAAGCCTCTAAAGAACCCAAACGAGCATCCATGGCATCAAAAATGTGAAAAACATCATCGAATTTACCACCCATATAGTCGTAAAGTGACTCCAAAGTGACGGGAGGATGCGGAGGAGGAACAACAACTCCATGATCAACATGCCCAACCTCACCTTCAAGAGCTTCTCCGACTTGATCGTGACAAATGCGAATCATTCATAGTTGGTGAAGTCATATCTGGTCTTGTGAGCCGAGGTAAGATCGATGAAGCTCGAGAGAGGAACAGAGGTGTCATAAGATAGGTTGATCCTGTGCTTGGTGAAGACGAAGCTAAGAACACAAGCGTATTGTAACACCCATTTCCCATATACGTTTCCATTCACAAGTCACATGTGTCACATGACTTTTTAAAACATTTATGTATTTGTAAACCAATAAATTTTGTTTTTATAAATAAAACATTTTAATGTAATAATAATAAAATGTTCATTAATTTTTAGCTTGTAAAATAGTCTTAAAGTTCTAACATATTAAATAATACAATCATTATAAATCCCATATGTTTCAGAGCATCATCATAACTCTATTACATGCCATCTAATAATATCAAAGTAGACATATTTGTCATACATTTACTGATGAGAAAATCTTTGATTGATGATGGCAGCTGCAGTCTTTACTCCGCTCGCACTAATACCTACGCGTGAAACCAGCACACGCTAACTTTTCACTTAGTGAGACATAATAATATAAATGAAGTGTAACCAATACATAAGTATATCATAAACTATCAAAATACGAATTAAATCATAAAATTCATAAGAGTAATTAAAATTGGCTTAGCAAACCAAGTTTCTTTCACATAACCGAGGAAACTATATTTAGTATGCCCAACATATCTATCCATCAGTATTTTTCCAAATTATCCTTTTATTTGCTCAATGTATGTTGAATGAGAATGCAAGGTACATGAGTTGCACCTAAGTGTCGAAATGGTAATTCAAAAACTCATTATGAATTCCATGGATGCACACATAGTGTCGAAATGGTCATTCATAAACTCATTATGAATACCATGGGTGCACATAGTGCCAAAAGTACTTATAATACTGATACGAAAATGCAACATATGCATTCAACAAAATCGATTGATAAACATCATACACAAAGTATGTCGAAATGCACCTATGAATCTCAATGCACATACAATGGGCCTTTAAGTCAATTTCACAGATTAAATATTTATTTGAACATCGATAGCCGTTAAAATAATATAGAATTACATACATCTATTTTAGAGCAGTTCATACTCAAATTTTTTTTATTTGTAAAGTCATTTCCATAAACTTTATGAAAATATGTTAAGATATGATAAAACATTCTTTATCAAAACATTAGAGGTTGACTCATCGCGAGTCATCCTCATATCATATAAGTATATATAAATGCACTCACCTGGTATGTCTCACTATTATGCCTTAATTATGTCCGACTATTTTGCTACTTTATCTTTTCCTTTTTGTTTGCTTGACTCAGGAGTTTTATTACGATCTACACAAGTATCCATCATCACACATACAATACAAATGTTAGTATAGTTTCTAACATTTATACAAAATAACAATACTCAAAATTACTATTATTTTCGGATTCTAATAAAATTCATCCTAACTTAACATTTCATACTGAGTAGTAGCGGTACACATCCTATAGTATCGATACTTCTCTTTTATGGTACCGATACCCACTCCGGTATCGATACCATTCTAGTATTTTGGAATTTCATTTTTGATTATGGTATCGATACCTTCCTCATGGTATCGA